AGGCAACATTTATGAAGGAATTATTTTGGGTAGAAACATGTCTTGGGACCATTATTTAATCGATCTGTTCATAAATAATTTTTATGCATTTATCATTAGTTGAAGAAAAAGCATTTAAAAGTTGATGCGGTGGATATGTTCTTCAATCTAGAAAGACTGTGTCAGGATCCATATTCGAGTAGCAATACAACTTCTAGAGTTACTAAAGCATATGTAACAGTTACAGACCAATACATTACAGAGAATTACAATTTTAATTTACTCGGAAGCTGTCAATTTGAAGGAGCACACACATCCGAGAATCCAGCAATAGAAAATCACTCCTCGCAATTGTAAATTTTTTCACACGGTGAATTTTGCTGTAAATAGCGACACGAAAAAAGTATCGATACTTTATGGTATCGAGTAGGTTTCTTTTCGATACCGATACTTTTGTACTCGCTACTCTTTGTATTCGATACTATTACTTAACAAGTATTTTGACAGATATCGTATCGAATAATACTTTTTTGTTATTTATTCATTTCATAATTCATGCAACATTAGCAACGCCATCTTGTTCAATCTTGCTGAAGCTTTCATTTATAGAGTTAGTTCCGTGCCGGTAGTTGCCGGATTCACATTTCACTGTTTTTAATTAGTCTATAGTTCATTGGCTGTACTTTAGCTGTATGGGCTTAGATCCCTTTGCCTAACCTCACGGAAAAGTAATACCTAACCTAAAACTCTGGTTCATTCGTTCGTTGTTGTTAACTGACAGTTGGTTTGTTATTTATAACATTTTGATATTTTCGATTTGCTTGCGTTATTGATAAATGATAATTGACTTATTGATATTTCAACCTATTCAGAACAGCACTCACAATTATTCTGTGTTGTGTATCGGAATTTGAATATTGCAATATCCAAAGAATGCCGCCTACCAAGAGTGACGTTTGGCAGTATTTCGTCAAGATTAACAAGACGAAGTGAAATGTAAGATTTTTTCAAAGCCTTAAAATCGTCAGGGAATACGTCAACATGAATAACACATTTAGAAAACCCTAATTCTGATGCCTCAAGGTAATTTTTTTTAATGATTATATGGTCCTTATTTATATAACCTAAAATTTGTTTTGTAGTAATTTAATAGGCGCACGAAACGGATTATCTTCTATATATATGAAATAAGTCGGGTTTTCCTTCCTGACAAAATAACTCCAGAACGCACGAACCGATTCGACAATTTTGCATTCGTGGGAAGGTCTCAGGCTCCGCAAGTTTGAAGCTAAGAAAATTAGTTGTGCATGGCATCGTGCCTTAATGCAAGCTGCTGGAACTTCACGCAACATATTAAAAAAATCGAGTAATGACATTAGTGAGAATTATCAGAATTATGCTTGGTTAAGTCAACGAGCAATTCTTGCCAAAGAATAATGATGTACACGCCCTGAATTTCACCATTCAATCAAAAATTGCTGGCGATTTGGTGACATACCAATGATTCTGACTGGTCTTCCGTTTGACTTCAAACGATTGCAATATCCAGTCGCCTGCGTTCGCAATAACATGTCGCAAGGCCGATCGCTTATTAGTGTTTGCGGGATAAATTTCAAATAGATTATTTAGAAATCATTGTTTTTTCACATAGTTAGTTATACGTTGCCTGTTCACGATTTGGGAAACCATCCGCTTTGTTTGTGTTAACGTCAGACCAAAAAACAAAAAATGGTGTTTACCAAAGATCACTTCCATGAAACGGATAATTTGCGGATTCACTTTCCATTTACTTAGAGAAGTTCAACTAAAAAACACTTCATTTTTGTAATCAAAATAAATTCGAACTGTTGTATAATAAAATCAAATTTTTCCTTTTAAAATATAAAACAAACAAAAAATTTCTTCATCTTTCTCACGAAACCATCTGGTGGCGAAACGGAGTTCGTCGGGTTTGCTAGTTTTATATATTCTTTTTAATGTAAAAGAAGATAAAAAACAACGACGGTGTCGACGATTCAGAAAAAGTTAGAACTGTCGAATTTACCGAGTCGTGATCACGAACCCCAACCATCAACAAGTACATCGAAAGCACCTGAATCAGATACATTGTTAACAAATCCTTCACCATCTAATGTCTAGAGAATTCCAGTAGTAATCAGTGGTGATGTGTGAGTTAGAAGAAACCTATACACCACTTCCAAAAAAGGCAACTTTCAATGTACAATCAATGGAACGAAAATATTCTGTTTGACAGTAACCATTAGTAAAATAATTCCGATGGTGAACTGTTTAAAGACGCAGATTAATAATATACCTATGGCTGTAGGTGATGGTGATGGTCCCATTGGGAAGTAATAGATAAAATAAATAGAAATCCTAAAACAGATAGAACGCCGATTCAGACATATTGAAGATAATTATTTGATTGCAATGTCATGTTTGCTAGATCCGAGATTCAAGAATATCCATTTTCAGGACGCTAATGCTTGTGCAAATGCAATTTCTTTACTGAGAAGATATATAACATGTCTCCTAGTGTTATCGGCAGCAGGTTTTACAAATATAAAAGATGCAAAAATTAATAAGGAACCCTTAAGCAAAAGTAGCATGCATCATTGTGAAACGAAGACTTTTTGAGAATGTTGTTCTCATACCGTGATGACAGCGATTCCTCTCTTGAAACAACTTACGATTTTGGAGCCACCACAAGAAATTAGCTCACACGAAAAAGCGATGTAAAACCAGTTCTTCATCACAGTTTGAAAATAAGGATGAAATAAGCCATTATTTATCTACACAGGTTTCCCCACTTTCTTGGATCCTCTGAAACAATGGGAAGATCCATATCGCCAAAAAGGCTCGACGAACTTCTTTTCTTGAGCGATTGTACCGAGAAGGAATGGACTTTATAATATTTTAGATTAAAAAATTGTGGCTTTACTTACAGGTTGTTTTTATTTATCTTATAATTATATGTACCATTTGTTATTTTTCATTTTCTCAATTTAATAGTGAATGATTGATAAAGAAGTGAGATCGACCTACTAGTGAAGAAAAGTGTTAGCCACTTCCGAAGGAATGTTACTGGATGTGAAAAATTGCAGAAATTGATTCAAGATATTGAAACACAATGGAACTCCATGGTGAAGCGGTTTGTCGAGGTTGAAGATCAATAAGGATGGCAATGAGCGTCTTAGATGCAAATCTACCATCATTGACTTCCGAAATGTGTAAAATGTGTGACACAATTATGTTCAACTTAAAATCCGTTTGAAGACATTACTAACACTGTAGTGGTAAAAATTACCTAACAGAAACACTGGTATTAGTAAAATGTCTGAACGAGTTTTGCAACAAATTTTGAACGAGTTTTGAAATTATGATTGTTTGATTATAATATAGTATACAATTTAAATCATATGTATTCATAATGTTGAGAATTTTCTTTGTAAGAAAATATTGTCAATTAAAGTTGTTCATTTAATATTACATTAACTATGTCTGAAATCTCTGCAAATATTAATTGCACCGTTCTTGTTCCAAGAACAAATAACACTTGGTGTCAACACTGAGACCACGAAGTGATATTCATCATCACTAAAGAGTTGGTTAGAACACCAAGCTAAAAGATCATTGAAATATGTTAAATCGACTTAACAGATTTTTTTCAGGATTTATTTCAAGTGTATGCATATTTAGTTCAAGAGTTTGTAAATTTAGTTCAAGGAATTTCGGGAGTTCAGTTGTGCGTATTTTCGCATTGACCGGTGAGCAAAGTGGAGTAATTAATAATAAATGTATCAAGAATAATATAATGTAATATATTGTGTAAGCAGATGTATTTCAGTTGGCAATGAAGAAAGTAAAGAAGGCCCATAACCACTCTGACATCACATCGGATATAGAATTGAAGATTATTTAGAGACGTGATCGAACAAGAATTGAAACACCACTTGAGGTACTATGTGTTACTAATACACCAGAGATTTATCGACGACACAGAAGTAAATAAAAATATTAAGTAAATCCAGTGTTAATTTATACTAATTTATCTAAAAATATATTTTAGGTTTTCAAGATTCACTATTACTACAGAACACACTTAGACCCACTGCCAAAAGATTGATGATTAATTCTTGTAAGTATTGAATGAAAACACATAATAAATTTAAGAATGAACATAAGTAATACATAATAATAAATTTAAGAATCACCTACTTGTGGGAATTATGAAGCAGCTGGGAGCAGTGTGAAGGAGAACAAAGGTCGGATATTCAAGATCAGCAGATAATTTGTAAGTTGATAATAATATAATGTAATGTAAATATATGTTACGAAAATAATAAAAAAGTTTAACAAATGCAGATTCTCAAAACAGATGAAGAGAAAAGGGACAGAACAAGGAGCACAGAGAAGATGAACATGCAATTGCAGCAGCTAATAGGTAAGTTGCTTTGCTACTAATGAAATGTAAATATAAATTACGAAGGTCATAAGGAGGATGTGAGAGAAGTATTACAAAATAAAGAGGAAACCACAAAGAGTATTTCGAAGATCCAAATGCAATTGCAGCGGAGTACTGAATGCTTAATTTAGTGGTCAACAACCAAAACCAAGAAGAAAAGAAACGAGGATAGTGCAGATAATTGTGACGTTTTTTTAGATTGCAAGTCCTGTGGCAAATGATGACATATTGAGTGATTTGGAAGAATTCCTCGGAACTGAGGCAACGAAACAGAGTTGGTAAATATATACTTAGTTAAATTGATGGTATGTGAGTATTTATTAATGACTAGCTGACCCGGTGAACTTCGTTTCACATAAATAATCATTAATAAAATTTAATTAAATCTTGCACATGAAATAATTAACACATTTGGTTATGAATAGAATTAATGCGAAGCTTCCATATATACTATATTTTAATTCTTTAAAATACCTATTTTTTTATATTTCATATATAAAATATTTTATACATTTGCTTATGAATCGAAATGTTTTGGAATCAATATAAAGCTTTTTTATAGAAAATATTTTGGTCTTTTTTGCGGTGCGTAAATGAATAAGGATGATGGTTTACCGACGCGCAAACACGCAACGTATGATTGGCCGTGTGCGAAACATGGAAACTCTAAGTTGATACCGCAAACCTGCAGCGACTGTCCTTGCGATTTATTGATGCTCATTGCAAAAGCGAGGCGTATTGGAAATTGTAAACGCCTGAAATCAAATGGTAAATCCGTTGGGATCATAGGAATTCGCGGGATCAATACATTTTGTCCCTTGTATTTTCCTTTAATGATTTTTGCCACAATTACATTATTTATTAGCTTTTTCACAACCAATCTTGTTCCATTGCATAGTATGGGCTGATTTAAATTACGTAGCATGATGACAAGTGATCCTACTTTCAATTTTAAATTATGTGGTGGCAGCCCAGGCAATTCTAATGAATTTAAAAATTCTGTAGGATAGTTGAGTATGTCATCCTGATTTGTAGCTGTGTCTACAGATTTATAAGTAAAGCATTCCCCTGGAAGTAAACTTTGTATTGTTGCATTGAGATCATCGACATCTTTGTTTTTCGCCGCCAATATTGTTCGTTCGCTCAGCCAATTGAGATCGTAAAATTGTTGGTTTATATCTGAGAATACGCATTGACTAAGCCCCTCCTTTGTGGTTTGTAAAACTGCAAAAATCTGCGGGAAATGTTATTAACCCGTTCGAGGCATCAACTGCGACATTACCATTTCCAATATTTAGTAACTGCTTTGAAAACACTTTTGCTGTTTCATCTTGTTGCAAAACCACTCGCATGTTCGTTGTTAACTGGAGTTTCTTGTTATTAACGCCACAAATTTAATGATTTTAGGCTTGCGTTTAGTTCGTCAGCAACAGTTGATCGCGGTATCACTGGAAGAGTTTGGCGAAAATCACCTGACAACAAAATCATTGCTCGACCAAAAATATTTTGATTGTCATGTAAATATTTCAATGTTTTGTCCAGTGCTTCCAGTGACCTCTTGTGGGCCATTGTACATTCGTCCCAGATAATCAATTTGCATGTATGAAGTATCTTGGCCGTGGCGCTAGTTTTTCTGATGTTGCAAACTGGTGTTTCATTGATTTGCATATTAAGAGGTAACTTCAATGCTGAATGTGCAGTTCGTCCACCTTCTAACAATGTTGCTGCTATTCCTGATCATGTCAATGCTGGAGCTACGTCATTTTGCGATCTGATCTTTGCCAATAGCAATGATAACAGGAATGTTTTTCCAGTACCACCAGGAGCATCAAGAAAAAAAATCTCTCCAGATCCACAGTTTACAGCTTGTATCAAATCATCATATACAATCCTTTGATGATCATTCAACTTTGAAACAGTTGTGCGAACTATTTCGGTCTATGTTTTAATATCATACTGTTGCTCCCTTCTTAACTTCATGGTAAATCTTGTACACAACGGTTTAGTTCTGTCAGGCCCAAACATGATAATATTTTATTCGCTATCAATAAACACATATCCTCTATCATGATCAAAGTTTTTATTAAATTTTCTGCAGTAATGTTTGACAACTATGTAAAATATCCTCAGACATGTCATCTTCAAATCTTTCGGATTTGAGGAAAAACATGTTGAAATTATAATCGCAAACAATGCACGCACTTGATGCGGAAATGATGATATTATGGCATCCTTGAGCGTATTATCCCAATGCGAATCGTCTTCGAGCAACTGCAGCATGTGACATGCTTCACGGTAAGTCGCACAAATATGTCCATCAACTGTTTTCAATTGTTGAAATGATGTCGGTCCAGGAACATTAACCAGGAATAACCTAAGGTAGTAACATTCATCATTATTTGGATGTACTGTATAAATGCGCCCTATAGCATCTGTAGCAAATATATTTGGATATCCTTCAACCGGTGTTCCTTTTTTACGATGTTGAAACGACTTTGATGATGCGTTCCATGTGTAATAGCGCGGCATATCAGCATACATCAAAGTACGGGCGAAATCATCTCTTTTGACAAATTGAAAAGAAACTTGTTAATGTTGTTGAAGGTGGATGCGCCGCTATATCAACAGTATTAACGGGGTTACACTTTGTCCATTTTCTAAATGGACTGCCAAATGGACTACAGAAGAGTGTCTTTCATGTATTGGGAAAGAAAAAATTCTCCAAATTGCTTCATTGCTACTTGCATAGCGATCCATCTTATACTCAGAAACTTCATCATTTGTTTTAGCAACAGCGTACATGGCCATGTCACTACCTTTGTTAATATATTTGCATATATATTTTTTGACTTGACAGAGTTACAAATTCTATATTGATGTGTGCTTGAAAAGTTTTGGATAATATCGGGGAGTACGGCACAATCTATCGGTTGTCAACATATAAATTTCGTCCTTTTACCTTCACAACTACATATTGCCCACCATCCGCAACTGATTGCCTACGATACAGCGGATAACTGTCATTTCCATTAATGGTTTCAGCAGTTAGATTTCTCGGGTATCGTTTAGAGCACTTGCCGTCAGTCATACAGGTCGAGTTATTGTTGAAAACTCCGCAAGGTCCATGTATCACATGTTTAGTAATTATTGCATGCAAATTTTGATCGACATTTTTATTAGGAATCTCTGCTGATATGACTGAATCAATATCTTCTGGCCTCATTTTGTCAATTAACCAGACTAAGATGTGCGCATGTGGAAGACCACGCTTTTGCCACTCAACAGAGTACATCCAGCAACGTACTTGGGCACATACATGATGCTTTATTATGAAATTCAACAAAGATTTCAATTTTTGTTTAAAAACTCTGGTAATATCATGTCTATATCCTGGTGTTTGGTCGTGTATCAATTCTTTCTTAATTTCTATCCATTGCGGGTTACATGTAAATGTAATGAATAGATAGAGGGCGACCATATTTTCTAACGTATGTCATTGCATCTTGTGCGTATTCCTGCATGTGGCGCGGGCTTCCAATGTAGTAGACGGCAAAATTGTCATTTTACCCACATTGTTTGCATTACCATCGGCAATAATAGCATCACGATGGATGTATTTCTTCAGATCAAAGGTGCTGTTGGTTTAAGCGGATGTATGTTAATCGCTCAGCCTCAATTTTGACATACATGTCAACAGCGAACTGTTGAAAAAGTCGTTGACACATCAAAATGTGGTTTATTTCACAATCACGGATCATCAGCCTGTATGAATAAAAATTCATAGCGCTAACTTTTTATTGGTTTCAGCATCTAAAATCACAAATAATAATATACATATTGAGTTAAAATATATTATTTAATTATGTTTATAATTGCCTGTTATTGGATTAACCATTTTGACACTAAAGTGGTAGCCATCTTCTCCCTGCCAGAAGATTAACGGATATTGTAAAGCATCATTCATAAGACCTATGAGTTTCGGACACTCGCCTTAATTCATTGTTTCGGCGATGAAGCACAATATCTCTTGATTGCATATTTTCTCCAACAACGACTATAGCCACCTCATCAAATGTTGGTGAATTAAATCTTTCTGCATGCTCACCAGCAGGTGTTTTGTCAGCTCTTATCACAATATTATGGCTGTCTGATGGCATTCGATTAAGTGCCACTTTGAATAAATTCACTAAACGATTGTTGCGATGAAGAAACGTTTGCAGTTGTTGGACTTGGCTTTACTGATGCATTAGGAGTACAACGCGTATCAACTTCAGCGCCCTGATTGCCTAGGAAATAAATTTGTAGAAATTGATGATCTGCATCTGGTAATGGCAGCAGTGCCCCCAATAGGTGATGAATTTGTCCTTGCACCTTGTAATTTTTTATGACATTTTCAATTTATTTTTGATACAAATACAAATTAACATTAGAAACATTATGATATATTACCTTGAACGTCGGCATGAAATTGTTCTGTACTATATGCGTTGCTCCGAAAGATGTCATTTGGAAGCAATTATTATATTTCTGGATGTTGGATAAGAAGTGTTTAAAGTCATTGGTCATTCCAAAAATTTGTGAGTGTAATGGATCAGGTGGTGGTACCAATTGTGGCAACTTCACCTTACCGCCAGCACAACATAGTCCTGCAGATTCACCATTGTATTTTAAGGCTTTCAAGTGCTGACAAATGATCGACATGTCTCCAATTTTTACAAATTTGTGGGCACTGTAATCTATTTCCGGATCATAAGAGAATGCTGCTCGCTACACGTTGACTGAAGCATTGCTTCTGCGAATTCGAGATGTTTCATTTTCGCGTGCTCGCTGCTGTTGCGATCGATTTGCACCAACTTGCCCATCAGTGCGGTTATTACGCAAATTACGTTTTAGGCGTGTTAATCGACTTCGACGACCAATGTCAGGTCTATTTCTTCTCAGCATCGTAAACAGCTGGTATCAGATTTATATAGTATAGATACTACTGTATATAGGGTTTGTGATTCTCCTAAATCACACTAAAACACTATACCTCTTCAATAACTTTGTATTCGAGTTTGTGATTCTCCTGAATCACACTAAAATACTATCTTTAATAACTCTGTATTCGAGTTTGTGATTCTCCTAAATCACACTAAAACACTACACTTCTTCAATAACTCTGTATTCTCACTATCTTCACAATAACTTTGATTCGGCATTAAGCTTCAAACCATAGGTAAAAGAAGAGTAATCAAACAAAGCATTAATCCTTATGTTAACTAATCAACCAATATTACTTATATCATAGCTAACTTCATACATCAATGTTCGCACTGATGACCGTTGCATTCAAATTTAACTTATTACTAACATAAGCTTAAAAATATGTATAAACAGAAAACTTAAAAATAACGCAAACACATAGGAAAAATTTATATGAGAAAATATGATGCACATAAGAAAGTAATAATTAAAATTAAATGATATTAAAGTATTATAATTATAATGTGTAATTTAATCATAATTTTCCTCAAAACTTTAATTTTTTCAGCTTGTTTCTTGTTCTAATTCTTAAAATATATAAAAAAATTCCATTAAGGGGGTTA